TCCCAGAGAAGGCTGTCGAGGGGCAATCCAGTGGGAAGACGGCTCACGTGGCCTTCGGCTCCTGCCCTCCATGCCTGGCTTGCGTGCACATGCGTGCCGTTCAGGGGACTGTAGAAACCCACAGCGTCTATTACAGGCGGCATGCACTGTTTGCTGTCGTCCCAAACAGGGCCGTGTGGGTTGTGTTGCTGTATTTCGGTTTAATCAAGCAGACACAATCAAATTCAACACTTTACAAAATCCTAGCATTAGTTTCACCAACTGGAGCCAAGATATGTATTAAAACAATGTATTCAAACAAGTGTATTTGTATGATGGACAAGGTACATCTACATTGGCAGGCATTAGCCTATTTCACTTCGGATGTTTCACTCACCACCTTCTGGGAGTGGGTGGCCGAGGCAGGTTCCAGGCGATGGCACCCCAGAAGTCCCCACTATGTTTATGTAGTGGGGGACATTATCCCACCCGCCCTATTGGCTGCAAGAACTGAGGTAACCCTGCCAGCCTCTTATTTTGAGGTGTGCCTGGCTGCTGTACCTTGGAGAGGGCACAGAGGATTTGCATAGCATCTTCAGCTCAGATGCCAGGCGCCCCAAATCCATGTGGGCCTCCAACCATGTTAATTTCAGATGCTGTGTCCCACCTCGCCCCCTGAGATGCAAATTGGAGCACCAGATGGGCCTCCCAAGGAGAAGTGGAGCAAGCCCACCCTCCTGCCTCTCTGAAAACAACCCGGCTGTTTATTATAAGATGTGGTTGTCATGGTGATGAGTGGTCGGGAGGGAGTCAGAGAAAACACTAACTGGAGGGAAGGGTCGAGCCTGGCGGAAGCTTTGGGGAGTAGTTGCCACTTTGAAGTGGTCCTGAGACCTTATGTTGCCCACGATCATCGCACACCATGGCCGACACCGGGCTGTCTCATCTCGTGGACACTCCCTGGCTGAACCACTGTCCTGACGCTGCACAGAAGCTGACCCAGCCCTGCCCTCCCCCCTGCCCCTATGATGCTGCATCCCCCAGAGGGTATAGCTCTGCTATTAGCCAGGGGCACCCAACCCTAGGCAAGCAGTGCTCCTGGTGGTGCCTTTGCCCATGATTTATCTGGCCCCTTGTCCAGGGTCTGTTGCTCTACATCTGTGGCCTTTGTCTGCCAGAAAAATTTATATTCCACCATAAGCTATTTCATGGAAGGGGTGTTATCTTCATCTATTTGGGCTGCTGAAGCCAAAACCCTCAGACTGGGTGACTTGTAAACAATAGAAATATATTTCACACGGTTCTGAAGACTGGGGAGCCCACAATCAAGGCACCAGCACATTCTGTGTCTGGAGAGGGCTTCCTGGTTCAGAGATGAGCCATTTCTTGCTATGTCCTTGTAAACGACCAAAGCAGGTCTGTAGCTCCCTGTCCAGAAAGCCAAACTCTGAACCACAAGAATATCTTTGCAAAGAGAAGTTTATTACACAAGGTGGCCTCCCAGAGAGTCGGCAGAGTTAATACCCTAAATGACGCTGGCTCTCCAGAGGACGGGGGTGCTGTGATTTCATAGAGGGAGGAGGAATGTGAGGTGTGAGACTTGGAGGAGCGAGGGCCTTGCCTTCCCAGGTCCCCGGAGGAGGCGCTGGCAGCATGGGCACATGCTCCGTGTTTATCTCGCAGGAGTGTTCCACTGGGGAAGCAGCCATCAAGAACAGCGCATGCTCGTCCCGGTGCTGTCAGCCTGGGTGGGGGGCAGTGCAGTGAATTTTGACAGCAACACACCACCATCAGCTCTCAGAGTTGCCGGGAATGCGGTTGGAGAATAAATCACAAGGTGGGGGGTGAGGGAGAACGGTGAGGAGACCCAAGGGTGCTTAGGACTTGATTCTGCTAAATTCAACTTTTCTAACAAACAGTCTCTGCTACGGGTTGGAGGGGATTCGGCTGCACCCTCACATGAGGATAGGGACAGGGGAGTCTCGAAGGTATCTTTTATCAGGCTGGTCATCCCAGCAGTGAGGGGTCCACTCTGTGACCTCATCTAACCCTCAGCTCATCCCAAAGCCCCACTCGCTTGGGAATTGTGCTTCAACATAGTAATTTGGAGGAGACACAGACATTCAAGCTATAGCAGGTGTGGTTGACCTGTTTTTATTTGTTGGTTGTTGGTTGGTTTCTTTGGGGTTTCAGAGATTACCAGTATCTGCCCAGCTCTGATTAAGGCAGTGAGGTCTGTGAACTGGGCCTAGGGGAGGCCAGCGGGTTAGAGATCTTTCAGGCAAGAGGCTAAAACAGACCTGTCTAAGCAAATCTTGACATAGTCAAAGGTTCAACCACAGAGGGTGTTCTGGGAGGGTGCTCCTAGCAAGAGTTTCACTTAAAGTGGATGGGGACAGCATTGGTTTAGGGAGATTCTGCCAGGTGTCCCTTGGCCATTGGGGAAGCCAGTGGGTCAGTGGGAAGAGAGCCAGGCATTTGGAGACAAACCTGGTCCAGAGAGGAAGCCCTGGCAGGATGAGAATGGGCCCCAGCCAATCTCAGGAGGGGTTCAGCACAGGGTCCACTGGGGTGCAGCCCTCTCCCCTGAGGAGGGTGGTGGATTCCCCTCCTAGGAAGGGGGCTGTGAGGCAGAGTTCCTGGCTGGTGGCCCTAGACAAGTCAGGGCCCCACTGTGGGACCTGGTAAGACAGCAGGGCCAGGTCAGGGCATGCTGGTGTCTCGGGGATGGACAGAGGAACTGGGGGAGGCAGGGACCAGCCAGGCGTCTGACCCCTACCCCTGCACCCCAGCTGCACCCCTGCTCCCCCTCCAGGAGGGCCTGACTTCTTACTGCAGTTTCAGCCTGGTCTCTCTCGGGATGTGACTGTCTCCCCTCTTCCTGTGTGTGATGGAGGGGGCGCCCCGCTAGGAGCCTGGTCTGCTGTGCAGATCAGTGTCCATGTCTTTTTCTCTAGTGCTCCAGAAGGATTGAGTGAAGTCAAGGGACACGACAGTGACAGTCCAGGACAGGGAAGAGGGCGGAAAGAGACTCCTCCCTATGCCCCCCGAGCACGTGGGAACCCGGCCCTTGATGCCAACGCTCGGAGCCTTCGTCCTTTCATCTGTAAAGCCGGACTGGGAACATCCATCTTGAGCGGGGAAGGGTTTTATAACCATATAACCTATTTACAAATAAATGTAAACTTAATACATAACAGAACGTACAGTTGGCTCTGGCCGTCTGCAGTGCATTGGTTCCAGAACACACACCCCGGGCAGATACCAAGATCCCCATACTCAAATACTTTATGTAAATGGTGTAGTATTTGCATATAATCTATGCACATTCTCCCATATACTGCAAAGTCACTCTAGATTACTTAAAATAGCTAGTACAACGTAAATGCTATGAAATTGTTGTTATATATTTTATTGTTTAGGGAATAGTGAGATAAAAAAAAAAAAGTACTTTTTCAATGCAGACATAAACACCCCAGGCCTAACTACATAGAACCCATTTTCCATCTGTGCTTGCTTGAATCCAAGGATGCAGAATTGTGGATACAGAGGGCAGGCTATATATTTATAGCTATAATATACACGTAAATTTGTTTATAAATTATCAGTGTTATCATCATCAGGTATATATTGTTACTGCTTATTAATTTATTTTCAGAAAGTGCTGGAACTTGCCTTACCAGAACCTCCTTGGGGATTGGGGCAGTGGTTTTAGTGCTATAGATGTGGCTTCCATTTTCTGGGTGGTACAAAGCACTAAACAGAGAAAATATACCTTAACTTTGCCTTTGGTTAATTGAAGTAAATGAAATTTCAGTTTGATGTCTTCTTTAAGGGAAGACTTATGAAATGTCCATGAGGCATTTCATTTTTTTTTGAGTAATAGATTGACCAATTTGAGTTTATTTCTCAGTAAAGAATTTAGAATTTCCAGAAATACAATTGCCATCTCTGACACCGCTGGTGGGGATGTAAAATGGTGCGGCCACTGTGGAGAAAAGTATGGAGAGGCCTCAAAAAAAAAATCAAAAATAAAATTATCATATGATCCAGTAACCCTACTTCTGGGCTTTAACGTCCGAAGAATTAAAAGTAAAATCTCTTTTTTAAAAAAAAAAAAAAAAAAAGATTTATTTATTTATGCATACGAGAGCTGGGGTGCAGGCCAGGGTGTGGGGGTGAGAGGATTCACCAGAGAACCAGAGTGGGGAGCAGAACAGGCAGACTGACTGAAATACACTGCTGAGGGGAGCAGCAGGTGAGACAGGAGAGGTCTGCTGCACCATGTGGGTAGCTCCCTGGCCAGGGATTGAACTTGTGCTGCAGTAGCTATGGACAGCTTCATAGTCTTGACGCTTAACCACTTGCGCCACTAGGGAGGCCCCTAAAAGTAGAATCTTCACAAGATCTCTGTGCACCCATGTTCACACAGCACAGATCCTAATAGCCAAAAAGCTGGAAGACTCCCAGATGTTGTAAGGGATGAATGGACAAGCAGAGTGGTGTAGGACTGTTGTTCAGCCTTAAAAAGAAGGAAATTCTGACCCATACCACCGCATGGCTGAGCCGTGAGGGCACTGTGCTAAGTGAAGGACAGACGGGTGACCCCACTCAGGGGGTGCCTAGAACAGTCAAGTTGGTGGAGACAGCCTGGGGTTGCTGGGGGAGAGCAGAGGGGGAGGGAAATCAAGGACCGTTCTGATTTTGCAAGATGAAAACATTCTGGAGAGGACTGGTGCTGGTGGCCACAGAACAGTGTGAACATACTGAGTGTCCTGAACTGTGCCTGAAAACTGGTTAAGATGGCAAATTTAATGTTATGTGTGTTTTACTTCAATTAAGAAGAATAATGCAAGATAAAATCAGAAAATATGGCTTTTAGAAATAAAAGGTATATATGCTCACTGCAGAAAAATGTTAATTAAATTATGTCCATATGCATGCATTTTACACAGTCATATCATGTTGATTTTTCCAACATATAAAAATGCCACTTTTCTCTTTACCCTCCCGGTTTCCAGGTGTGCAATGGTTTGGAGCAGCCAAGGAAGCAGCAGAGGTCCGATCTCAATGGACCAGTTGACAACAACAACATCCCAGAGGTAATTTTTTGCAAGGATGAGAATTCTGGCCCAGGGCATTCATGTTGGCGCTGCCCACCCACTGGGTCAGGGCAGGAATGGGCCACAAAGCAGGTTTTCTGATCCAGCAGACCGGGTAAAGGAGGAGAGAGTCCTGGAGCCCTCGGTGGCTTTTGCAGGCTTTTATTGGGATTTACCAAGTACATGGCAGGCAGGGGTGCTGGGGGGCCGGGAGGCTGGCAGGCCTCCCAGCCCCCAGCAAGCCTTCACTCTATCTGGGCTCTCCAGCATTCTCTGGTGGCCTTGTTCTCCGCTCCTCTCATGGTTCCGCTCTTCTATTCATTCTGCTGGCGTCCCGGTGACACCGCCCTTATAAGCACCGTCTCTCAGCCCAGGTGTAGCCACTTACGCATGCCTGGTGCCATCAGGCATGCATTCAGGACCGCAAGGATCCATTATTAATACTAATGGCAGGAGGGCAGAAAAGCCTGATATCATTTTCTCTTACCCTACAGTGTTCATGTGTTGTCAGTGGCATGTGGGGAGGTGCTGGTGCTCCTAATCAGACAGAAACTCCTACCCCATTTTCTGACAATCATGATCTAGATCAGGATTTCTTAAAGGTGGTCTTTGTTGTGAGGTTGTCCTTTGCATGGAAGGATGTTTTGAAGCATCCCTCGCTCTGCCCATGAGCCGCCAGTAACAAGCAACACCCCCTCACCCCCACCAAGTGGTGACAACCAAATGTCTGCAGGCCTCGCCAGATGTCTATAAAAATCCTGGTGGAGAACCACTGTGCTAAACTCAGCGCGGTTTTAAGACACAATCCCGTATAAACTAACTGCCTTGAAGGAGGTCCCTGAAATGAGACCTTAGGAAAGTTATCTCCCTTTTCTAACAACATCGTTTGGATGAGATTTTTCCTGACTTTGATGAAATAACCGTGGCCACTCATGAAATGGTGTGTAGTTTCCTTTCTCTTGTTTTAAAATTGTGTCCTGCTAACCCGCATGCCCTCCTGAAGGAGAATCATTAGATTGTTGGGTCCCTTGGCTAAGGGAGGGTTCCCAGACCCTCTGTATTCCGAGGTTTTCTGTGGGGATTGATTGCTTTTACCCCTCCCAGACATCCTGGGACTTGACTGAGACTGGATGCTGTTAGGAGCTGGCCTTTTGACAAGCCTGGGGCTTAGCATTTTATATCGTGGTATCTGTCAGCCTAGGTCTCAGGAGCTATCTGTGAGCAACTGTTATGTGTTTTATTGTATTTTCTTTTTTTTTTTTTTTTCATATTTCCTAACAGACAAAGAAGGTGGCATCATTTCCAAGTTTTGTGGCTGGTAAGTGACTGTGAATTTCATCTCTCAGGGGATGGTGGCATTTCTTCTATGAGAAAATGGTATAAAATTACTTTCGGTTTTCTTCTGCAAAGCTTGTTTAGGAAACAACCTTCAAGGTGAAGACAGTGCTTGGTAATGAGGCTGGGATGCCATCACTGCAGCCTCATAGGCCCACGTAATGGGGAGGGGAGGTCCAGTTGATTAGGGAACAGCAGACCATCCCTTCTAATTACACCCTCAGTAATGGCCTCACACATGACACTGATGATTGAATTAATAGATTGAAAAGTGTCTGTATAAGCAGCTAATTACGTTGTAACACTTTTGATTAGGGTGACTATAATTGCGTACAAATTCTGGCTGTTCTTTTTTTAGACTCATTTTCCTCCATGCTCCCATCTTTTAAGAAGGGGGTTAATACTGCATTTTCACATTCACTATAAAACTAGACAGATGGATCCATTCTGTATCGTTTCTGGTGTGGGGAGCTTGGCTGCAGGTGGAGCCCACGTTGTAATGTCTGAAGGGTATCAGGTAAGGCTGATACCCTTGAAGCTCCTTTAGGGGGACCTCTGTCAACACCTCAAGGATCTTTCTCTCTTCCAGGAGAAAGTTTCCTGGCCTTGTTTGTGTGTTAAACAATGTGGATTTTATTAACTCCATAGCCTGTAATTAATTTTAATTAATATTTAGGGAAGCAAGGTAAATTGATCTTCAAAAATAACAAACTTTAAACCTTTTCTATCCTGGTGTGTTTTGGTTTTTTATTTTGTAAAGACCCGCAACTTGGGAAATGGGAGGCCCTAAATTCCACTATAAGAATAATGAGTGAACCAGGCTTATTCAATTGAAACTGGTTTAAAATGAATTCATGGGGGACCTCCCCGGTGGCTCAGCGGGTTGAGCGCAGTGCTGTGAAGCTGTCCACAGCCTCTGCAGCGCAGGTTCAATTCCTGGCCAGCCAGGGAGATACCCACATGGCGCAGCAGACCTCCTCTGTCTCATCCGCTGCTCCCCTCAGCAGTGCTTTTGGTCCGTCTGCCTGTTCTGCTCCCCGCTCTGTCTCTGGTGAATCCTCTCACCATCCTGCGCCTCTGGTCTGTACCCCAGCCATTGTATAAATAAAATATAAATCTTTTAAAAAATAAAATGAATTTATGGTTGTAAGGGCAGGAACTGGATACATGCTGGCTAACTGTGGTCCCATGCAGCACAGCAGTAAATGAGGCCAGTCAGGGTTGAGAGAAGCGTGCAGGTTTTCAGGGCGTCGGCGAAAGTGACAACCAGGCACTTATGAAAGGCAGGGGTGCTGGCTGGGGCTGGGAGGCTGGCAGGCCTCCCAGCCCCAGGAAGTCTTCACTCTATCTGGGCTCTCTGGCGTTCTCTGCTTCTGCTTCGGCTTCTCCTTCAGGTTCTGCTGCTGCTGGCTGGGGCTGCTGGCGTTCCCCGTGACGCCGCCCTTAAAAGCACAGTCTTAGCCCAGGTGAATCCCATCTACTTGCCCACACCCTATTCCAGGTGCCCGCCATCAGGCATGCATTCAGGGACCAAGGATCCATCATCTATCCTGATAGCGGGAGGTGCAGCAAGGGTTTTGCTTTCTTTACCCTGCGCGCTGGTTGCCCAGCCGGACCTAGGGGCGGTTAGCCCTAAAGGTCACTGCAGGGGAAGGTGCAGCACTGTGGCTCAGATTGAATGAAACCAGTTTTGCCCCATCAGAACCTGTGCTTTACAATTCCAGTAGACTTGATTCTATCTTGACCAATTCAAAGGCGCTCAAATGGGTTTTGTTATCATTTTCCATGTGGTTTTAAGTAAGCTTCAGTGGTTTACATCGGGTCACAGTAAGTTGTGAAGGTGCCAACCCAGATGTGGTTTTTCAGGGCAGGATGGCAGAAAGAAACCTCGGTCACTCATTCCACCTTAGGGTTTGGTCAGGTGCCTGATTTACAGGACTTAACATTTCATCAACAAAGGTCGGTACAGCACATCTGTGCGCCATCTTCCTGGGTCAGAATGCTGGGCTGAAGTGTACCAGTCCCCTTTGGCATGAAGTAGGCTCACGTGGATCCCAGAAGATCACTTATCAACAGATAATGGCACCATTTTAGGTTGAACTCCCTAAAATTGTCCAGGGGAATGATTTGGACATGAGAATCCTGCGGTTCTGGAATCAGCCTCATATCTGCAGGGAAAGCAGGGGAGAGGGTCTGGCGGCAGCAGCCACACCTCCCAGGTGCCCTGGGTAGTGTCTCTAGAGTCTAGTGTCCTGGAAGACTCACTTCTCTGCCAGCTCAGCCAGCCTAAATCAAAACAAGGTTGGTGTCTCAAGCCATGCAGGCTGGCTAAAACTGCTTGTGGCCAGCTCAAACCAGTGTGGACAGACTTTTACAGTTTCCTATAGAGGAGAAGCCCTGTGATTATTACAAAAACAGAGAACTTAAAACAAAAACCTATCTCTTAATCACAGGGAATTCATATTTGACTAAAGCCTTTAGGGACCCATTTACTTAGCAACAGGAAAAGCTCATCCTAATGATGAACCCTAGAATGTTCTGAATGTGGGAACACCATCCCCAAATGGAACACCTTTAGCAGGTAAGAATGCAGGCAACAGATACACCTAACCCGAGCTGGCACAAACAGGGACACATGTGGTCTTGGGCACAGCAGCCTGGAGGCAGCTGGTCCAATGACTCCTGATGACCAGCCTTTTGCCTCTTGGTGTTTTCCTTAGACGTGACACCTCATTGTACTTCCTGGCACCTGTACTGCTCCACGTACCACTTCTTATTCTAGCCAAAAAAAAGAAGGGAATTGGCAAAAATCCACACCAGCTGTGGCAAAGCTGGTAAAGACTTAGACCACATCTAGACAGGAGAACTGCAATCCCTGGGGGGTGGCAGAGCCTGACTTCTCCAAGGAGGTGACCTCTATAACTGGACATGTCCCCGAGGGGCCCCTGAGGCCATGCTCAAGGAGTGACTGTTAGCGATATTGGCCCCTGAGAATGAGTCTCCTGCATCCACGCACCCTCCTGGAGGGTGTTTTTTGCCCTCATCACAGGCCTGGCTCCTGGCATTGCCTGACCTTCTCAGGCTCTTTCCAAAGAGCCAGCTGGCTCACTGAGGCACCTGCCTTATTCCCTCTGAAAATCAGCCCCAGGCCTACTTGAACTTAGGAGACCTCATGAGTTCACAGTTTGTGGATTCTTCACCCATGTGATCACAATTGCAAGACACAGCTCAATCTCAGGGTGCAACAGAAGGTTTATTTGCAAAGGGGATATTGGGGTAAGAGAGCACTTCCTAAGGCCACACCAGACCAGTGGTCCTACCCCAGGGAGTGCTACATTGTCCAGCAGTCCAAACCGAAAGCAGCTCCTGCAAGATGGTGCTGTTGCTCCATTGAGAGGCTGGCTGCTTGCCAGTGAGCAGTGGACCAGGATCCAGCTAACCCTTGGTCTTTCCTGAAGCCAAAGAAATCTGTCTCCTCTTGAAGCTTCTTCCAAGCTAAATCGAACCTTCCCAGACTAAGTCAAGTCTTCCTCTCAAGCCTTCTCAAGGAGCTTTTCCCCAACAACCTTTCTTTTCCCTGCCCTTCTACCTCAGGCCGAGTTAAGCCTCTGCTTCTATTTCCTTCAGGGTACCCACCTCTCAAATATGATTGGTTCACTTTCCAAACCAGCTGTCTCCAAGACTTAATTGGTGCTGGTGCAGGCTTGAACCTAACTGATGCCAATGGGAGCTCAAACCCAGTCTAATTTCAAAACCAGCTCCAGATTCAAAACCAAAACCCTGGTAGGGCATCCAGCCTGCTCTGCACCATCTCGTGCCAGAGCTGGCAGGTGAGCTCTGCTGTACCTAAATGGTGCTGGTGGTTCAAACCTGACCTGCATGTCTCCAAAACTGCCATGGCTTTTTTCTTTTTTCCCTTTACACCCAAATGTGGCGGTGCCAGGGCCGGCCATCAAACCCGGCCTCCGGGGCACAGTCCAGGCTGACGCCTCCCAGCTAAGGGCTGCGTTACAGAATCAGCTGTTTCCATGATAAAATTTGCTGTTGGTATTTTTATTTAGCGTGTATTAAATTTATCTGTCAGCTTTAAATAAAGAATCTTGCCATCTACCAGAGGATTTATTGTTCCATTTATTCAAGCTCGTTTATCTTCATTAATAAAATTTTATTCATGAAAGTGCAACACCCATGTTGTTAGCTTATGCATAGGTGTGTTTATCCCTTTTATTTTTTGAAATTTTACCTTTTATTCACATTTTTTTCTGACTTGTTGCTATGCGTAGCTACGAAGAAACCTACTGATATTTTACATATATTGAATTTGAAACCACTGCCTTAGTGAATTATCTTGTTCTTTGAAAAGGTTTTCACTTGTTTTCCTGGCGTACAGTCATCCCATCTGCGAATCGGGGTGACTTTTGCTTCTTCCTTTCTTGTTTTCTCTTTTCCCTCTGTTCTAATTGGAGTGGGAATGAAGTTGCATAGTAGTGACTTATTTTAAAATGACACCTTTTCAAAAAACCCATCTGTTAATTATTTTATCATAAAAAAATTTCAAACAAATACCAAAATAGAAACTGAAAGGTGCAGCACCTGCGTGCCTGCCCCACCTCCACCCCACTGCTGCTTCATTTGCATCCCCACCTTCTCCCAGATTACTCCAGAGCCAATCCAAGGCCTTCCACGTCCTCTAAACATTTCAAAGATGTACCTCTGAAAGTCATTCCAGCATTATCACCGCTAAAATAAAATGAGCAGTTATTTCTTTGTATCAGTAAATGTCCATCAGTATTTCCATATCCCAGTATGTAGTGTGGCCAAGGGATGAGTAAGGAGTGAAGATGCAGGAAAGGGACAGACATTGAGATTAGTGGTTGATTTACCAATTTTCATGTCTCTTGTAGGTTCTCTGTCCCTCTTGCTTACAATGGTTTCATTGCTGTTGAGGAAGAATCAGCATCACTTGCCTTCTAGAGTTCCCTG